ACAACAACAACAACGACGACGACGACGACGACGACGACGACGACGACGACGACGACGACGACGACGACGACGACGACGACAACAACAACAACAACAACAACAACAACAACAACAACAACAACAACAACAACAACAACAACAACAACAACAACACAAACACAAACAAAACAATCATAACAAACACAACAAACACAACAAGCACAACAAACAAGCAAGCAAGCAATCAAACAAGCGAACAAGCAAACAAACCACAACCACAACCACAATAAACAAACAAATCACAACAAACAAGCAAACAAACAAACGCACAATCAAACAAACAAACAAACAAACAAACAAACAGTCAAACAAACAAACAAACAAACCACGGCCACGACCACGACCACCACAACCACCACCGCCGCCGCCGCCACCACCACCGCCACCACCACCACCAGCAGGACAAACACACACAAACAAACAAACACACACACACACACATACAAAACAAAAAGGCCCGCCCGCATGCCGGCCCGCACACAAGCAAGCACGTAAGCATGCAACACACACACACAGGTCCGGGCGGTCACACAAAAAGAAACCCACAAACTGGCAAGCAAACAAACATGCACGCAATCAAAGCAAAGCAAAGCAACGCAAGGCACAAATAAGCAATTGGCAAAGCAAACAACGGCACCGGTAACGGCAACAGCAGCTTCTGGAGCAGCAAGACCGCACGCAAAGGACTGCCAAATGACTTCAAATCGGGTCCATTGAAACGCTGTCTGAATCTTGAACGTCTTTCCGTCCCACTCCCACGCAAACAGGAGCATGCATCATGCGGTTCACCCACGAGTAGTGGGCTGGTGGGGCTGGAGATAGACTGTGTCCAGGGTGCGCTAGCATTTTTGAGGCTAGGCCTAGGGTTCATTCAGGATTGCTCTAGCTCTGGCTGCCTGTAGCCATGCTGATTAAAGCAAGCTCCAACCGAAGAACCCGTGGAGCATGGCTTATGATGAAGAGGGTGTGACGCAAAATGAGCCTCTATTCCTCACCCCTCATTTGTCATTGACCCAGTTTGTTGCCTATTGAGCGGAATGTCTGTAGGGAGGAAGCCACCTACCCACCCACCCATGCACCCAAACCCGAGGAGGCCCATGACAACCTTTTGGAAATGGTTCTCATTTTTGCCTTTCGGGGTAGGTTATTTTCTGCAAACCCCAAAAAGAGCTTCCTCCAACGATGGTTTGGTTCCATTTGGTTCCATGTCTCTCGCCTTCTGGGTGTCCGTGGGGCCTTCCACGCGGCAAAAGTCCACCCGGGCGCAACCCTTCAATGGCTGGATGTGTTCCACCTCGCAGGAAACCTCCTCCTCGATTTTTGGGAAAGGAATGCGAGGGCTCGCTAACCCCTACAAGTCCCGTATGCGTCAAGGGGAACCACCAAAATGATGGCCTTCCTTTTGGTGTGGCTGTTAGCCAACCTGAAAAGACTGCCCTCGAAAAACATTCAACCCTCCTTTATAGGGGTCAAGGTCTTCCAAAACTGGAAGCAAATGCTGGTCGCCTCAAAACCTTAGAAAAGGATTCCTACACTGTTGAGGCTCCCATTTATAATTATTCTAGCCCGACAAAACAGCAGAAGGTGTCCTTTTGATACTTTTGATAGAATCCGCCGACCCCTTTGAAGGGGCGAGGCGTGCTCAAACTGGTGGTTAGGATGAGCCTGAGGGGGGAGGGGGGGTCCCGCGGCGGATTTTTGACACGCCTAACCTCTAGCCCTAACCCCTGACCCCTAAACCTAACCCCTAACCCTACCCTCTCACCCTAACCTCTAACCCTAACCTCTAACCTCTAGCCTCTAACCCGAACCTCTAACCCTGACCTCTAACCCTAACCTCTAACCCTAACCTCTAACCCTCACCTCTAACCCTAACCTCTAACCCTCCACCTCTAATTCTTATCTAACCTTAACCTCTAACCTCTAACCCTAACCTCTAGCCTTAACCTCTAACTCCGATGATGACGAAAACGATAATGTTGATGCTTGATGATGAAGAATGATGCTGCTGACGATGATGATGATGATGATGATGATGATGATGATGATGATGGTGGATGATGAGGATGATGATGAGGATGATGATGATGATGATGATGATGAGGATGGTGATGATGAGGATGATGATGATGATGATGATGACGATGATGATGTTGATGATGATGATGATCATGATGATGATGATGATGATAGTTGCGGATGATGATGATGATGACGATGCTGATGAATGATGATGATGATGGTGATGATGATGATGATGATGGTGATGATGATGATGATGATGATGGTGGTGGTGGTGGTGGTGGATGATGAGGATGATGAGGATGACGATCATGATGATGCCGACAAATGATGATGATGATGATGATGATGACGATGACGATGATGATGGTGATGGTGATGATGATGGTGGTGATGGATGATGATGATGATGATGCTCTAACCCCAACCTCTTACCCTAACCTCCAACCCTAACCTCTAACCCTAACCTCTAACCCCAAGCACTGACCTTAACCTCTTACCCTAAGCTCTAACCTCCAACTAATGATTGACAATGCCGATGACGATGACGATGATGATGACGATGATGCTGATGAATGATGATGATGATGATGATGATGATGATGATGATGATGATGATGATGATGATGATGATGATGATGATGATGATGATGATGATGATGATGATGATGATGATGATGATGATGATGATGATGATGATGATGATGATGATGATGATGATGATGATGATGATGATGATGATGATGATGATGATGATGATGATGATACTTTCTCAGAGGAAAATTACGGTGAGAGCAGGTTCTGCATCCCGCGCAAACGTAGCATCAGCCAAGGCGCTTGCAGGATGATGTTGGTGAAGCTGGGGATGCAAAAGCTGCCTTTTTTTTTTCGCGACTTTCGAAGACCAACACAAAGCATCATCCCAGGAACTTGCAGGTTGATGCTAGGGATGCAAAAGCTGCCTTTTTCACGGGTCTCCTGTAGCATCGCCAGCGTACCTAGCATTCCCAGCATCATCCCGCAGCGATGCTGGTGAGGCCGGTGATGCCAAAGTTTGTTCGCTTCTCACGGAAACATCATCATCATCATCATCAGCATGGTGACCGTCGTCATCATGAAAAACAGAAATCAATAGTGACGTGAGGCCGACTTGCAACGCAAGGGATGCTACGATGATAGTTATCAAGGCAACGCTGGGGTTCCACTTGCCATAGCAATCGCTCGCCCGAGCACATTGGAGGTCGGCGGCATCAGGCGTCAGCCTGCTACATCTGGCCTGGCCGAACGGCTGTGTCGGATTACCACCTTGGTCCTTTGGAGCAAGGCTCTAGAGCGAAGCTCTATGGGGCTGCCGCATGGTGCCGCCGACCCTGTGCATGCCGAGGATGCGTGAAAAGGAAAGTGATGAGGGGTGCGTTTTTGGGCTTGTTTTTGGGTCTGCAGCCTTGGCCTTGCAAGTCTGCGGTCTTGCCCCGGTGATGCGGGTGATGCGGGTGATGCTGGGGATGTTGCTGGGAGCTGCCGTCCTGCTGCAGCCTTGAAACACCGGAAAAACACGTGAAAATGCAGGGCTTTTACTGCAAAAAACCAAGGAAAACGTTTGGTTTTCACATGGGTTTTGCGTGGCAACTGGCCCAGGCGTGCGTGCGCGTGCGCGCAGGCGCGCGGGCCTGCGCGCGTGCATGCGTGCGCGCACGTGTGCGTGCTTGCGCGCATGCGTGCGTGCTTTCGTGCATGCGTGCGTGTGCGCGTGCGCCTGCGTGCGTGCGTGTGCGAGCGCGCGCGCGCGCACCGCGTGTGTGCGCGTGCGTGCGTGCGTGCGTGCGTGCGTGCGTGTATGCGTGCGTGCGTGCGTGCGCGCGTGCGTGCGTGCGTGCGTGCGTGGGTGGGTGGGTGGGTGGGTGTCTGTGGGGTGCGTGCGTGCGTGCGCGCAAGCGCGCGCGCGTGCGCGTGCGCGTGTGGGTGTGGGTGTGGGTGTGGGTGTGGGTGTGGGTGTGTGTGTGTGTGTGCTTGCGTGCGTGCGTGCGTGCGTGCGTGCGTGCGTGCGTGCGTGCGTGCGTGCGTGCGTGCGTGCGTGCGTGCGTGCGTGCGTGCGTGCGTGCGTGCGTGCGTGCGTTCGTGCGTGCGTGCGTGCGTGCGTGCGTGCGTGCGTGCGTGCGTGCGTGCGTGCGTGCGTGCGTGCGTGCGTGCGTGCGTGGGTGGGTGGGTGGGTGGGTGGGTGGGTGGGTGGGTGGGTGCGTGCTGCGTGCGTGCGTGCGTGCGTGCGTGCGTGCGTGCGTGCGTGCGTGCGTGCGTGCGTGGGTGGGTGGGTGGGTGGGTGTGTGTGTGTGTGGGTGGTGTGTGTGTGTGTGTGTGTGTGTGTGTGTGTGTGTGTGTGTGTGTGTGTGTGTGTGTGTGTGTGTGTGTGTGTGTGTGTGTGTGTGTCTGTGTGTCTCTGTGTGTCTCTGTGTGTGTGTGGGGGTGGGCGCGTGGGTGCGTGAGCGCGTGCGTGGGTGGGTGGGCGGGTGTTGCGCGTGAGTCTGGTGTGTGCGTGTGTGTGAGCCTGTGTGTGGGCGCGTGCGTGGGTGGGTGTGCGTTCGTGAGCGCGCGTGCGTGCCCGCGTGTGTGCGTGTGTGCGCGTGCCTGCGTGCGTGCGGGCGGGCGGCGGTGAAGGCGGTGAAGGGGACATGGCGAAATGACGGGAAATGGTTAGAAAATAGATGGAAAATGTGGAAGATGGATGGAAGACTGAGGGAAGATGTTTGGAAAATGGATGTGTGTATGTGTGCAAGTAAGGAAATGTATGTGTGTTTATGTTGTTGTTGTCGCTGCTGCCTGCTTAGCTGTCCTTGCAGGAGCTGTGAGGTTGAGTCTCGCGATGCTGCCGCGGCCGGTTGTGCGCCAGCAACGTAAATCCGGCCGCCCTTGGTCCTTTGGAGCAAGGCTCTAGAGCGAAGCTCTATGGGGCTGCCGCATGCCGCCGACCCTGTGCATGCCGAGGGTGCGTGGAAAGGAAAGTGAGCATCACCGGCATCATCTGCGTGCGTTCGCGTGCGCGTGCGCGCGTGCGCGTGCGTGCGTTCGCGTGCGTTCGTGCGTGCGTGCCTGCGCGCGCACGTGCGCCCGGGCGGGCGGGCAGGCGCGCGCGCAGGCGGGGCGGGGCGGTGCGGCGCGGTGCGGTGCGGTGCGGTGCGTGCCGGCGGTGCCGTGCCGTGCCGTGCCGTGCCGTGCCGTGCCGTGCCGTGCCGTGCGGCGTGCCGTGCGGCCGTGCCGTGCCGTGCCGTTGCCGTGCCGCGCCGCGCCGTGCGCGCCGTGCGTGCCGTGCGTGTCGCGCGTGCCGCGCGTGCCGCACGTGCCGCACGTGCGGTGCGGTGCGGTGCGGTGCGGTGCGGTGCGGTCCTGTGCGGTGCTGTGCGGTGCGGCGCGGCGCGGCGCGGCGCGGTGCGGCGCCGTGCGTGGGTGGGTGCGTGCGTGCGTGCGTGCGTGCGTGCGCGCGGGCGTGCGTGTGGGTGTGTGTTGCGCGTGAGTCTGGTGTGTGTGTGTGCCTGTGTGTGGGTGCGTGCGTGGGTGGGTGCGCGTGCGTGAGCGCGCGTGCGTGCCCGCGTGTGTGCTTGTGCGCACGTGCCTGCGTGCGTGCGGGCGGTGAAGGGGACGTGGCGAAATGACAGAAAGTAAATAGAACATAGATGGAAAAATGTGGAAGGTGGATGGAAAACTGATGGAAGATGTTTGGAAAATGGATGTGTGTCTGTGTGCAAGTGAGCAAGCGTATGTGTGTTTGTGTTGTTGTTGTTGTTGTTGTCGCTGCTGCCTGCTTAGCCGTCCTTGCAAGAGCTGTGCAGTTGAGCCTCGCCATGGGCCATGCTGCTGCGGCCGGTTGTGCGCCAGCAACGTAAATCCGGCTACGCCTCCTGGGGTAGCATGTCGCCGCTAGGCAATTAGCCTGCTAGCTTTAGCTATAGGGGCTGCACCCTGGTGCCGCCGACCCTCGTCACTTGGTCGCGATGCGTGGCCTAAATCCGGCACCTCTGCATCACCAGCTCGGGCTTGCGGTTTTGCTTGCCTGTGGGAAACCCTCGCAAAACATCGCGGATATATACAGGGTTTAGGCCATGTGGCTGACATCATCAGGGTCTGGGGTTGGGCCTGGGTGATGCTTCAGCGCGGCTTGGTCTGCATCATCAAGACTTCCTTCCAAAAAGCCTCTCAACCCAAAAAGCACTGTTTTTTAGAAGGTGTCGGAGGGATATAAGCAAGGCTCATTTTCGCGCATTTTGGCGCCATACCGTCAAAAACTGCTGCGCTGAGCGGTGGGCTGTTGTTCTGTCCGTTTTGCTTTTTCTGTGGCTGGCTCGCGTGCTGCGCGGTCCTTGCTTTTTTCGCGTTGGTTTTCGGGCCTTGTAGCGCGCGCGCGCGACCCCAGCCACAAAACGCTGCTATTTACAGTGTTTTGTTGCTTTTGCGTTTCCGGGCTGGCTTGCGGGCTGTTCTTTTTGGGCTGCTATTTCTGCGGCCTCTGGCGCGCGCGCGCGCGACCCCATGTCAGCCTTCTGGTTTGGGTCCCCGCCTAGGGCCCAGAAAGCTGGCATCCCCGGCATCATCTGGGGTTGGGGCGGGCAACATGCATAACCTAACCAGCCAAATCATAGCGCAGAATACGTTTCTCATACAAAAAACATGAAATGACATGGTATAACTTCAAAGAGGCGTAGCCGGCTAGAGGCCGCAGGCCCAGAAATAGATATGGTTGATGGATTGGAACCAAACTGAAACCAGTGAAATCCATCTATTTTCAACTAAAGCTTATCAGAAAGGACACCTATGACAACAACCGACAACCAACCCACAGTCGCCTTGCGGACAAAAAGGCACCCTTTTCTTGGTAGTCGACTTTAATTTTAAGGAAACCACTGGTGGTCTGAAAACCTGTCTCCTTCCATCTATAATCAACTAAACTGACCGAAAAGGACACCTACGCTGGGCGCCCTAATATTGCACGTAAACCAACCGTAGTCGACCACAAAACCACGGTAATGTACGACAAAGTACAGGGGTCCTGCCTACGGATGGACAACAACCACTCTTCAAAAACCACCCATGTTCCGCGGGCTTGGCTTGTTTTTTGAAGAAAAGGATCTCTGAAGAGAATGGGGACGAAAAAGCCCTGGTAAATTAATAGGGGGTGTCCCTCTTTTATTGGGCTCATCACTGTTGAAGGCAAACCCCTGTGTTTATTAGTAGGATGATTAGTCCGGGGGTTCAATGACACCAACCCTCTCCTTCAAGGAGCGCAGGAACTCCACCTGCTGCTCTGGCGTGGACTTCTTGGTGAAGCCTGGAAGGCTCTAAGACCACCATGTTTGGTTGCTTTGTTTGTAGATAACCCAAAGGAAAGAGGTACTAGAGCAAGAATACGTAGAGTGATGCAGGACCTGTGTTTCAAAGCCACACTGATGATAATTTATGAAGGTTGGAAAAGACTTTGCTTTAGTTCCATGACGCTGTGCCACCAAGTACCATGCGAGCATGAGCCTGGGCAAACAAGTTGAGCCCGTCGTGAGTAGCCCTCAAAGCCTCAGCCTGCCACCACGCCGACCGCGCCCCCACCAAAAGATTCGAGGAAGGCACTACGAACATCCTTTCTGGGCATGGCAGCGCAGGCGTGCACTGCCAACTCCCAGACATACCACAACCGACATGAAAGAAGACAAACAATGCCAGCTGAATAGTACGCGACAAGCATGGCATGTTGGGTCAGCAGTGTCGTACGCCCACTTCGTTTTGTCGCCCCGCATGACGATGCCGCCCCGCATGACATGACGATGCCATCGTGCGCCGCCTCCAGGCTTCGACGCGCCTTTGGAGCTGCCGGATGCTGAAGTACGAAGGGCCGGGGTTTGCTTTGCAGTTTCCGTGGGAGAAAAACAAGAGATCATAGCGTGTCGGCTTTAGAGCTTCCGCCAGCTGGCAAAACGACCGGGTACCGTTCCAAAGGCATTTGCCATCCGTGGCTTCGCCCCACCCAAAACCCGAGCGCTCAAGAGCTCGAACAAGGAGGCGTGGATAAGGCACAAGTGGGGCCCCAGCCTCCAATGAAGGGGCTTGTCTTTCTTAGGGGATCCGCAAAAGGGAGGATGAAACAGTGATACACATGGAAAGCGAATAGAGGGAGGCTACATACATGCTAGGTGTATGTTTAGTGCCTTGACTTTTGCAACACATTCCCAATATACCGAACACATGTTATTGTCAATCTGGGCATTCCTGTAATTTGCAATGCTATTTGCAACGCTAGGGGTTAAAATTGGTTTGCTTTGCAATTTTTAAGGAATCTACCTGCATTAGCGTGTTTTTTTTCTTTCTTCCGGGCCCCTTTGTGTGCCGCGCGGTAGTTTCAACGAAAAGGATCCCCAAAGGTACAGTCCAAATCGGGCTTTGCAGCACCCGCGAGGGCAGGGGGAGCAAATACCGATCTTCTCTGCTAGTTTCAGAAGGAAATAGTCGTGACTGTTAAACACGTTATTCTTTGTGGCTCAAATGGAAGCCATGGAAATTTGTGTGTTGGCAAACACGTTCCATGATACCAAGGAAACCCCATTTAAAGTGAGCAAGTCTGCACTAATTAGTTTGCAAGCTCGCAAATTCGGGAAGTAAACCGCTGTGGGGGTGCTGCTTACAAGGTTAGATAAATTGCTTTGAAACCCTGATCACTTCTGGGCTCATTCATCCAACTCTACCAAAGAAACGGCTCCTTCGCATCGAAGCCTTGGCTGTCAACTGGGATCCAGCGCTATGGGGTTATCGGGGCCCTGAGGAACATAACCCTTTCTGGCTGAGCCCTGGCCAGTTGCAACCCCTTCGTAATGGACGTGTCAATATTGTGTTCTGTGTGCTTTGGTTTCTTTGCGGAGTTGTGTTTCCTGGTGTTTTGCTGTAGTCCCGTGTTTTTGGCAGTTGTGTGTCCATGTTTGCCGAGTTGTTTTCATTTCTTTGGGGAGCTTTGATGTGTCCTTCCTTCCAATGCCGCCGCCCCCCCCTCCCGGCCCTTGTTTCGCAGTCGGGTTTTTGAAAGAGGCGCAGTTTTCCATATCAAGGTCCTCACAAATGAACCAGGGACACTGTCAATACTTGTTTCAAATGTTGCTCCTATGCTCATTTATTTGCCCATCATTCATGTGCCAGGTCGTCTTTGCATGCAGGCCACTGTGTTGTTGTGTGCTTCTTTTCTGAAACATGCAGCTTGGCGTTTGTCCAAGATAAACTTGGCAAGCGACCTTTTGGTATATCCTCCGGTCAACACGCTCGCACGGGCAGCTGTCACCGGATGTGGGGAACATCGCAGTCACACAAAGGCTGAAGATCTGGGTTGGTCCCAACCAAGGACCGGAAATAATTAATCACCAAGAATGGTCGGTTTGATTGGCTTCCCCTTGAAGACCACAAAAAAGAAGGGCCCTCTATGCTTGGACGCACCACCAAGCAAGAGTTGTAAAGCTGTACCCCCGCAAGCTTGTACTCCTGCATCGGTCAGCTCGAAACCCATTCCGGCACCGCGCCTCCCCCAGCTGCAGCTTGGGAGGCCGCACCACCAGCATCCCGGTCCTCGAATTCCTGGATATCACAGTCGGAATCGGAAGCGAAGCAGAGGCGAGACGAAACGGCAAGGCCAAAAGGACTCCGAGTTGCGGGTCTGTTGGGTCTCTACTTTGCTCCGAGCAGCTGTCAGTGTGCTTTTTTGGCGATCTGGAGAAAGAACCTGACTGGGGTGATGGACGACTGTTTTTTCAAGGAACCTTCCAATGTTAGTAAGGATCAAGGGTTGTGGCGCTCAATTTTCCGAGTGAAAAAGGCTCAAGGATGTTCAAGGTACAAACGACCAAGAACACACCCCGAGCAAACAAGCATCCCGCTACTCGCAAATCCCTGGCCTGATTGGCCGATGCATCCGTCGCCTTGCTACCGAGGCAAAATTCACAAACTGGCAATATGGGGCTTATCCCGGAAACGATAAAACGAGTTTGCGAACAAATGCTGACCCCATGCCCCCTCGGTCCTATCCCTCCAGCCCTAGGGGTCTGCAAATCGCTTTTGTGTTTTGAACAACTCAAGGCTGGCTTTTTTGGAAATGTGTGCAAAAAACTTGCTGTCCTGCAGGCGCCGCACAACGTCTTCGCGTCGTAGTTTTTTGTTCCTCGGCGGAAGCCCTCCAAAAAGAAGCCAACAGGGGATGGGGAATTATTCAGTGCCAGACGCGAACACTGGGAAGGGTGGGGGTGGTGTGGGGTGGTGTGGGAGATGACTTGAGCAGAGATACGGCTGTTCCTGGAGAATTACCGCTGCCAGTCAAAACCGGATCGCGGCCAACCCATCTAGAAGCGCCCTGTGAGGCCCGGGCACGAGTTTCTTTCTGGCGCTTGCCACGCTCATCTCGCCTAGGCGGTTGCGCAGGCAGGTGCGCCTCTCCAGAACACGATTGCTTGACTACTTATCCAAATGGGTGTGGGTCAACATTCTGGTGTGGAACGTTGGTGACGCGGACGTCTGGAACGAGTCAGTTACGTAAGGTTGGTTGTTCCGGACCTCTGAAAAGACATGTGTGGAGTCCTCAAGGACAGTTCATTTAGTGTAAGATGGATAGGGGGATGGATGAAAGGAGGATGGGTAGATGGATGGATGAAGCGACCAGGGGCGCGCGGCCTTACCATACGGGCACCTCCTTGAAGGCTTCTTGGGCCGCGTAAGAAGTCCAGCTACTTACATGGGGCATGTGTGCGCATGTGGGCTTGGTGGCAAATTGCCCCGCTGCGTCTGGAACACGTCTGGAACGGGGTCTGGAACGGTTACGCGAGTGGCTTGCACTTGGGAATGCTAGCAAGCAGCATGTAAACATGGTCGTTTCAACCATGTGACGACTGAGAGCGGTATCGAACCGTTACCATGTCGTATCGAACAAATAGCGGTGGGGTTGACCCTAAACACATCTGTCAACAGAACGGCTGCCCACTTCCATCCAAGTCCCAATGATTACAAGCCACGCAGCCCTTAACCACCAAAGCTCAACAAGCAAATCCCATCGTTAGCACCTCAAGCTTCTCTTGAACACCAGCTTTAACGCGTAGTATTGGGGGGGGGGTCAATAACCTACCAAATCACCTGACCGTCTGAATCAATACTCTAAACTAGACACATACATAAACAAGGTCTGGAACGGAAGGTCTGGAACATATTTCTAGGCAAGGTCTGGAACTGAGGTCTACGGAGGTCTGGATCGCATGTGGGTTCCGGACCCTGTTCCGGACCTTATAAGTTGACTCGCAGCCAAATGGTCCCTGTACTGACGAGAGCCAAGCAATCATTCAAAAGCAGACGTACCCACTTGTCACTTCCATGGTACCTTGAAGACAAGTTTTTCTCAGCTACATGATAACGCCTTCTCACGAGAGATCCAAAGTTACTTTGCGAGACCCCAAACGGCCGCTGAGGGATCTGTGGCAAGGCTTCTTTCCCTTCTCTAGGCCATTTGAGCATCTAACTGTGATACGTCATACATCCTGAGTACCTTGTCTTCTACTCACGCTACTCAGGTGATGGTAACATAGAAATTCGAATCACGTTGCATCCCTATAGGCTTGTACTAAAAAGTTTTGATTTTGGAGCTACTGAAAAGTCGGTCTTCCAAAGCCGTCATCAAGAGGGTTTCAACATTTTGACACACTTAACATCACTTAAAGCGATACCAGCGGGTATAAGCTTACACGCGTGTTCCATGTTTTTTTCCAGCCCACGTGTGCCCAGATTCCTGGCCCATAAACTGACCAGTAACTGCACGGGTAGCCTTAGTCCGGAGCGCCCAGAAACCCACTTGATGCGCGCTTGATTATGTTTTTGAACAACCTTTCGACACGACGTGCAGTGCCAGTTTTTGGTTGTTGTGACTGAAACGTGTGTTGACATGTGGTTGGCATTTAACAGCTTCACGTGCCCCTTTCGTGGACATGTGACATGTGGTTTTGTCTCGCATTTTGCTTACTCTCCTATAATTCTGGTAGAAAAGCAGCAGCTGAGGCGGGGGCTCAAAAAACTCGCAAAATCTCACGGTGCTGACAGCTGCAAAAACTGCGGAAGACACAAAAGTGGGGGTGGAAGAAGTCAAAACGAGATCAGCACGCCTAGTTTTGACACATACCCCCAAAAAAGAGCACCTTGTCTCGCTTGTCCAAAGAAGCTTGTTGCAGGCAACCGTTTTGAAAGATCTGAGGTGCCGCATTTTGGGTCCTTCAAACTTAGCTGTCCGTCGGTTGATTCCGCAAATGTTAGTAAGCCAACCACGAACCACGGTGAATTGCATGGTCTCCGTTGTTGCCTGCTTGATACATTTGGGGAAGCCCGTACTAAAGTGGCCAAGAGAACACCAATTGACTTGAATCCCAAAACCTTTTCTTTTGACATGACCCCATCCTGCAAAGGAATTCAATCACTTTACTCCCATGAATGTAAGAGTGCAAAAGCAGGTCGACAGGAAGGCCCGGTTCTGAATAAAGGACAATGCCAACCTTCTATGTTCCATTGGAACCCATGTTACCGCATTGCGACTCCCAATTGGAAACGGACGGACATGGGTGGGCTGCCGTCCAACCAACCAACCGGGTAAGAAAAACGTTGCCGGCAGCCCGAGGGGGCATCCCTATGGCGACAAGGGTTTCCCTTCTGACCTTGGCTCACGTGAGCAACCAGTATCATTGGTCGTCGTTACTGCTGATTTGGGGAGGACAAGTGGAGGCCACTCAAGTCAGCCACACACACTCAGAGGCCGAACGCCCAAATGCCCCATGTCCCCTAAGAAACAATATATATATATATAAATATATGCTGCGTGGCTCGTATGTGTCAACAGGCTCTTGGTTGATCACTTTGAGGCACCTTCTCAGCAAACCATTTCAATCCTTAAGCCAATGTTGAAGCATCCACATCTGTTTTGTTTCTTTGTAATAGTGTCCATCAACCTACTTTGGTGATGTATCGGAGGCACGGGGCTGGCGTCATGAGCCCGCGATCTCTTTTGGACTTAGACGGCCAGCGGGTTGCTTCCCTTTTGTCCTTTTTTGGAGGGGTCCTTTGACAAGTGCCAAAAGAAGATCGCCCTTGCTCTTTGGCCAGTGGGTTCTTTCGGCGATCGCTTGCGTCAGGTGAGCTCTGAGATGAAACCCATTGTTCCAATGCGCATGTTGCTGGGCTGTTCACAGCCGCAAGACAAATTGGGTTGTAAAAGGGGTCCTCGTTGTAGCGGAAAGCCATCTTGGGGTGAATTTCCCAATTAGACATGTTCATGTTGAACAGCCCAGCTCAGCCGTGTGGCTGCTCTTTGCAAAAGGTGAGACAATCTCGCTGCTGCGTTTCAGTCAAGCGGATGCCAACTCAAACTAAGAGACATGCCCGTTAAATGTTTGAAGCTCTTGGGGTACCCACTCCAAAAACAGACCCCCCAACAAATATATAAATATATATGAGGATCGGCCAAACCCCCCATATGGTTTTTTTTGTAAGGACTGATTACGACAGCATATTCGGTGTTACGGCGCTGTGGTCGTGGAAGACCGCGCAAGGGCGAGCGGAAGTTTCGCGGAAGGTTATGTGTTATCATGGGATGAAGCTTCACTCGTGTACTACCCGAGTACTGAAAAGTTGTGCTGCTTGAGCTGGGGCGGCAGGTACTCTGCTAGTACTTGAAAGCTGCGATGTTTCAGCTGGGCTGTCAAAGTCAAAGTGTGCTTCATGTGTTGAATTGTACTGAGATGAAAACGATGCCCCGAACGATACCTGCAACTCCGAAACGATACCGCGCACTGCCTGGGGCCAACTGAGCTACCGAGTCTGGCATCATATTCGGCGGCCCTTTTGATTGCCGCGGGGGAGAATAAAAAGAAACGCGGTCTTTTGACAAAGCAAATTTCGCGGTCTTTTGTTTGGACGCGCAGGCACGTCACAGTCGCGGTGTGCCAGAGCTCCAAACGATACCCAAAACGATGCCACGAAACCCATACAATTGCAGCTGTCGCCTTGCGCCGGGCTGGCCCACCCGTCTCGTGTTTTAGCGTGAAATGTCGCTTGTGTCTGTTTTCCGCTGCTGCTCATTCTCTGGCTCGGGGCAGTTGTAGCAGCGTGCTAGTGCTCAAAGCGATACCCAAAACGATACCAAAGCGAAGCCCCGAACTGCGGTTTTGCCGTGCGCGGGGGGTGGCCAGTCTCTTTACATAGCGTGGCTTGTGGCTTGTTGCCGCGTTCCTCCTTCCTTTTCTTTCTCCTGTGTTCTGCTGCTCCGCTTCCTACGTTTGCTTGTCCTTCTCCTTCCTTTTGCTCGTTCCGCTCTTCGTCCCATCCTCGCTCCTCCTGGCTTGCTTTACTTTTACTTTACGGAAACTTACTTATGTTCAGACACTGCAAATAGACTTAAAATCAGGGGTGGGTCATGTACCCCAAACAGGGAACCCCTGGGTTTATGTCTATTTGCAGGTAGTCAAAAAGTTGAGCCCTGTTCAGACACATATCAGAACGTCCGGTTTTACCTGCATCGCGGAAGATTCGCGGAAGGGCAAGGCGGAAGGCGATTTTTGGAGCAAGGAATATTTGCCAACCCTCATATATGCTGTATTTAGGGTAGCCTAAATATGAAGCAGATTCGGAACATATGTGCCTTGTTTGCATATTGACACTGAAGCAGTCGGCCGTTCAGGGTGACGCTCGGTTTTAAAGATACGGCGGATGTCATCCCTGTGTGCCACGTTTTTGTCGGAAACTTAGTGAGTGGAATGTTGGAAATGATGCAACACTCAAAATCTGTCAAAAGTGGCACAAACAGCCAATGGCGGCGCTGTCCAAGCCTCCGTTTTTTCCGGAGCCAAAAGGGATTAGGAGGTACCATGAACATGGCGACATGTGCCAAATGTGGAATTTGGATCCCAGGAATCAGCAGTCAGGTTGTTTAAACACATGTTCTAGTAATTCGAACATTTGATGGTTCAAACAACATACCGCAAACCCCCTCCTCCACGGCCTCCCAAAGTGAGAGCGTCATCTCTTCAGTGGGCACCATGCGAAACGTCTGCACCTCTGGGGAGAACATGTGGGTCGAATTCCAAAGGAAGTTGTAAACATATACGGCTAATCCAGCTTCAGGTTGAATGATTCCAAGCCCTTACGGCACCTTTTTCCTTTTTTGTGAACAACCCGTCATCCCACACCGGAATATTCATCACTGGGAGGATCTGGAAATACATAGCCAACGATCTCAGCGTTTGTATCAATGTCAAACCACCAAAAAAGGGGCACTCTCAACGAAACACCCCGACATGAGTTGTCTAGAATCCAAATTTGGGCGTCCATGACCATCCCGATCCCAAGTAAAACAGTGTGTTGATCATGCAACATATGAGTAAGATCAGCACACATAAACTACTGGTCACACTTTGGACCCAGTGAATTCATAAACTGGCTATCCTGAGATCCCCTGGTAAAGGTTGAGCTTTTTAACGGGTTACATGGAAACCCGCAACACCCCGGTGCATAAAAATGTCCCCCCCAAAACGATTTTCGGCAGTTCGGCCCTGGCAGGGATCGCGCCCGAGCGTGGCTGTATGAACAGTTGGTTTGCAAGTTCCCCCTCACAAAACACATGTGCCAGAGTTGGCTTTTTTTGCAAGGCCCCCCCGTCTTGTCGAGGTTGTGAAAACTGGGGGGCGGTCCACCTTTGAAGCGAACCTGTTGGCCAATCTGCATTGCATCAAGTCCAGGTTATCGTCACTGCAGTAAGGCAAGACATCCGGCAGCCACGCAGTTCATTGATGTTAATTGACCTGCCTTGCCAAAGATGTGGGGCCGTGGCAAGTGGCTTGCACATAAACACATGCCCTTCACTCACCTGAATTCTGCGTCCTTGATTGCCAGAGCTTGTTGCCTGTGGGAACTTGTCTCGTCCTGCATTTTGCAAACAAAATGGGAGGCATGGCCCGCACTCGGTGTGGCTGCGAGGAAATTGACCGTCAAAAATGTGGGCAGTGTGGGTCACACGGACTCGGCAAAACGTGGCTGGCCTGCAATCCCCCTCCCCCGAAAAAATAAACATCAATGGCAACGGGAAACCCCTCAAAAGAGGGAAACAAGAAACCCTCGCATAAAAGGAGAAGGAAACTCCGAAAGAAAGGGAACATATGTAACATAAGCTCCCTGCGAAGCACGTCGACAAAAGAAACAAAGAGGCGCAAGCCCGGGCCTCAAACGGCCTCCAAGAATCCCCGGCCTCGTCGATGCGGCAGTCCCGCTCCAAGAAGCCCACCGTCCCAGGTTAGGACTCCAGAACAGGTCGATTCCATTCGATTCCACAGACGCGGCTTAGCCAAGTCACCAACTAACTTAACGTCGAACACAGCACCCGCAGCAGATAACATGGTAAAGGTGGAAACCAAATTAAGGATACATTTTGTGCCACGGTCAAAACTTGCTGTGGACATGGTTAAATTAGATAGCCCCCCTGGCTTTGAGGGTTGACCGCAGGTCCACACGTGATGGAGTTGCTGGAATCATGAGGTCAGTTTCAGCCATCTTCGTGCCGTCGCTTGTCAAGGTTGAGCAACAGCACTGCACCGCCAACGAATCCCTCGAACGCCAAGACACAACGGCAAGGCCAAACAACAGCACTGCAAACCAACAGCCAAGTGACCAGTTCGAACACTCGCAGCGCAAATCCGCCTTAGCCCCATTCACTTTAAACACTGCCAAACATCATCTGTCTCCGCAGAAAGAGCTGCACGGATCACGTCAGCCGCTTCCAAATGCAACATGTAACGTACGATGCCATGGCAAGCGTATTGGCGGTACAAGTTTCAGCAATTTCTCGCACAGTACACATGCTGTTTCGATCCATTACCGCAGACACCCGTGTTGCCGGTCAACCGAGGAGTTTGTCTTTGCCCAGCACCGTCCTAAGAAGCCCTGCTGCTTCAGTCCCCAATAACTTAAGCGCCAACTGGAGCAGTCCGTGCCCAATGTCTCAAGCAAGCTAAAAATTGCCATGAAAAGGCAAGTCTGCTGAGGTTGACACTGATCTCTAAAAAGTCCTTAAACCCGAGTGTTCTACCCTTTGCTTGTCCATTGAGCCTACCAAACAGGGAAAACCAAGGACTTCCGAGACGGAGACTTCTTCCAGCCTGGTCAAAGGCCTCATTGGGACAGAAGAGCGACCAGTCCTTGTTCTCCTCGCATTTATGCGCTTCTCATGGGGGACGCCCCACTATCCCCCCCCTTTTTGGATTGTTTTACCGGGACCCCCCCTTGTTGGATGGAGCATATGGGATTTCTTTTTGGGGAACCCCTTTTTGGATGGTTTGGAAGGGAAACGAGAGGGTTTAAACCAACCACCTTGAGGCGTCCCACCCATGTGGTGAAACTCAAACTGTACAATGATGTCATCTCAAAGGCTCCACAAGGCGAAACACGGAAACTGCCTTACTTGGGCGTCCTGGCTCCGACAATTTTACTCAGAGAACCCTTTGGTGCCACAGAAATCAATAACCGAAAGCCCACAACCTTCCCTCCAAATCGACATGGAACCAAGGCAAAACCATGATTTGAGCCTTTTGGGTTCCGTGTAAATTTGCGGAGTAAATAAACGGTGAAATGAAAGCCCCTGCCAAAAGGAAAATACGAGTCGGTCACAGAAATCGGCAACCTAAAGCACACCAACTTTCTAACCTACAAACACGGAACAAAAAACACTGGTTTCGGAGTAATCTCCTGTTGGGAAGCCTCCTTTTGGGGAGCATGTGGGATTGTGTTTTTTCAAAGGTGCCGTTTTCAGATTCGTTTAACGGGAAACCGACAGGAAAACCGACATGTCATTTGGAGCAGCACAGGGCAGTGCCCATTACGGCCCTGGAGGACTACTTGACAGAGGTCCACTCCGGTGGTGCCACAGCGGAGCAACTACAATGGGCTTTCCCCATGCCGACGCGTGCGGATGATGGTCCTGCAGGCACGTTTGCTGGCTGGAGCGCCGCGCTTGTCAAGGAAGCCGACCACAGAGTTGGTGTTTTCGGGGAAGGCAGCAGCGCTCGGTGGTTCCGGAGTGTTGGACAAGCGTGGCAACGCTTGCTTCAAGTGCGCTGGCAATCGCGGCTTGGCGTGGCGGCAACATCGCCAGCAGAGTGGAGTGCTGCATGCTGTTCCTTGGTTGACTTGCTTGACAACCCTGTTCGAGGCACGACCGAGCGCGAAATGAATTGGGGGAGGGCTCTTAAAGAGATTGAGAACGCCCGACATCTTATCTGGGAGTGGCGGCTTGGCTTGCAAACACCGACATCCAGCTTGGCTCGGCAACAACTCCGCGGAAAGCGTCGGCGGCTGGATTGCCCTCGCTGTGGGTTTGAAATTGTTGACCAGGCAGACACAGCTGATAGCCCCCTTGGAACAGGCGACGCTTTATTACAGACGGCGGGCATTGACGGAGGGAAGCTGTATGGCTACCAGCTCTTGGAGGAAGCATGGTGCCTAGCTCGCAAGCTGTCAGGCGTGGTGCAAGGTGGGGGTTGGGTAGTTTCTGATATCAAAGTTGACGGCCAAACAACCCCACGATCCGATGATTTGACACGTTTGCTTAATGCACGGACGCCTCGCCCAGTTCACGTTTCCAAAGAGCAGAAGGAGCTGATGCCTCAATCTGCCAGGTTGCTTTGCGATTGTTGTGTTTCTAGCTTGGAACTTGTGACAATGATTCAATCCCACGACGTGACTCCAGCGCCCTCTGAGACTTTGCATTTGAGCAGCGGGGCCGACGCAAACTCTCTGCTTTGTTGTGGGCTGATTCTTGGTCGGCTGCGCAGCAGAGATTTCGTGGCTTATTTGGATCACGTCAGGCGGAAGACTGGCTCTGATCCGTTCCGCGAGCACACTGCAGTTGCAGATGCCATGGAGTTTGTCACATCGTACACGGTGCCTAGCTTGGATTGAGCTTCGCAAACGACCTTGGAATTGGCGCCTTTGTTGAATAGAGACCTTCCCCTAAGGAGACGAAATCACGAGCTTGTGAAATTCATCTTCAACGGTGATGCAGACATCATCCGCCAAGCACTTGCGGCTCCTTCTGGGAGTGAGGCCGGCAAAATCGTTGTTGGCCGAGCAGAGGGGTTTGGTCACTTTGTTTGGAAGAATGTAGCAGTCACAACGCTGCATGCGACGGGAGTCCCCGATTCAACTTGGGCACGGTTCTGTCCGTGGCGGGAGGAACTCTTCAGCCCCGAAGTGGTCGAGACGTACGTAGGGTGGGGCACCAATGGCTGCCGGTACTTCCAGCTGGCGACGGACACCGACGAAGCATCTGCTGAAAGCATTTGCCACTTCTACCTTCACGACCTGCAGACCTGGGCAGGGGTTGGCGACGAAATCACGGTTGCCTTGCAGCACGAGAGCGGGCGCAGTTGCGTCCAGACTGTTACAGTGAAGCCAATTTGGCGGAAGGGCTGGGTACGACAACGTGCTGCGTGTAAAACGTTGCAATGGGCCTCGTGTTTTGACACGTGCACCATCTTAAGGCAGCGCGTGCAAGCGCCGCCGCCCTTTGTCTTTTCCTGAAGCCAGCGCATCCCCGGCCGTAGCTAGATCTCCATCGCCGCTAGGTGTGAGGAATATGCGAGAAAGAGGCTGGTTGCTGTGTGTCCCAGGTGAGTGTTGGGGGCTCCGACACGTACCAAGCATTGCGTTGGCGGTGATGTCGCCTTGTGGACCCAATTTTAAGGGTTTCCTTTCGGCGTGCCTGTATTTTCATCCAAAAGGGGACCTTGGACCTTTGTTTTTTTCAGAAAGCTCTTTTTGCTTCTGGAGTTCCTTTGGAGCTGAATTCGCATGTGGCTCGATGAGTCTGGATGTAAACTTGTACCTCCAGTAGATTCTAAAAATCCAAGGCGCGCAGACCGGGGCGGCGGCAAGAGGAAGGGCTCCCCCGCCATGTGCTTGGAGCCCTGGCACGCCGACGTCTTTGAGAACCACGGCGAGGCCGGGGGTCGAGGTACGGGGGTTGGGTCTTCGTTTGTCAGAATAATGCATGCGGGAGGGTGTTTTGTTGGGGTGGTTCATGGGGGCAAACAACAATTTAGGGGATCCTCCGACTTAAAATGCAAGCACATATGATGGCTTGATCAGCAACTTTCGAACTCGTTTACTGTGATTGAAGTGATGTTTGAAGGGGGGTGTTCCTGAAGAGCCTGCCAAAAGATGGGGAGGCTTCGTACGGTGGACATCGGGGTCTGTTTTACAACTTCCTTCTTCTAGAAAGTTGCAGTTTTGTTGGTTCTTGGCTGCAAAGTGGTACAGGGACGAGGAGGTTCTCCTGGCAAGGGGAAAAATGGTTAGACAGGGAGAGTCCGCGAAAAAGGTGCAAAACGAGCGGCTGGGGTTGGGGGTGGCGGACACTTCAATCACAGTGAACGAGTTCAAAAGTTACTGATCAAGACATCATATGTGCTTGCGTTTTAAGTCGGAGGATCCCCTAAAACGTTGTTTGCCCCTTTTTGTCCCCCATGAACCACCCCAACAAAACACCATCCCACATGCATTATTCTGACAAACAAAGACCCAACCCCCGTACCTCGACCCCCGGCCTTGCCGTGGTTCTCAAAGACGTCGGCGTGCCAGGGCTCCAAGCACATGGCGGGTGAGCCCTTCCTCTTGCCGCCGCCCCGGTCTGCGCGCCTTGGATTTTTAGAATCTACTGGAGGTACAAGTTTACATCCAGACTCATCGAGCCACATGCGAATTCAGCTCCAAAGGAACTCCAGAAGCAAAAAGAGCTTTCTGAAAAAAACAAAGGTCCTCCCTTTTGGATGAAAATACAGGCACGCCGAAAGGAAACCCTTAAAATTGGGTCCACAAGGCGACATCACCGCCAACGCAATGCTTGGTACGTGTCGGAGCCCCCAACACTCACCTGGGACACACAGCAACCAGCCTCTTTCTCGCATATTCCTCACACCTAGCGGCGATGGAGATCTAGCTACGGCCGGGGATGCGCTGGCTTCAGGAAAAGACAAAGGGCGGCGGCGCTTGCACGCGCGGCCTTAAGATGGTGCACGTGTCAAAACACGAGGCCCATTGCAACGTTTTACACGCAGCAAGCTGTCGTACCCAGCCCTTGCGCCAAATAGGCTTCACTGTAACAGTCTGGACGCAACTGCGCCCACTCTCGTGCTGCAAGGCAACCGTGATTTCGTCGCCAACCCCTGCCCAGGTCTGCAGGTCGTGAAGGTAGAAGTGGCAAATGCTTTCAGCAGATGCTTCGTCGGTCTCCGTCGCCAGCTGGAAGTACCGGCAGCCATTGGTGCCCCACCCTACGTACGTCTCGACCACTTCGGGGCTGAAGAGTTCCTCCCGCCACGGACAGAACCGTGCCCAAGTTGAATCGGGGACTCCCGTCGCATGCAGCGTTGTGACTGCTACATTCTTCCAAACAAAGTGACCAAACCCCTCTGCTCGGCCAACAACGATTTTGCCGGCCTCACTCCCAGAAGGAGCCGCAAATGCTTGGCGGATGATGTCTGCATCACCGTTGAAGATGAATTTCACAAGCTCGTGATTTCGTCTCCTTAGGGGAAGGTCTCTATTCAACAAAGGCGCCAATTCCAAGGTCGTTTGCGAAGCTCTATCCAAGCTAGGCACCGTGTACGATGTGACAAACTCCATGGCATCTGCAACTGCAGTGTGCTCGCGGAACGGATCAGAGCCAGTCTTCCGCCTGACGTGATCCAAATAAGCCACGAAATCTCTGCTGCGCAGCCGACCAAGAATCAGCCCACAACAAAGCAGAGAGTTTGCGTCGGCCCCGCTGCTCAAATGCAAAGTCTCAGAGGGCGCTGGAGTCACGTCGTGGGATTGAATCATTGTCACAAGTTCCAAGCTAGAAACACAACAATCGCAAAGCAACCTGGCAGATTGAGGCATCAGCTCCTTCTGCTCTTTGGAAACGTGAACTGGGCGAGGCGTCCGTGCATTAAGCAAACGTGTCAAATCATCGGATCGTGGGGTTGTTTGGCCGTCAACTTTGATATCAGAAACTACCCAACCCCCACCTTGCACCACGCCTGACAGCTTGCGAGCTAGGCACCATGCTTCCTCCAAGAGCTGGTAGCCATACAGCTTCCCTCCGTCAATGCCCGCCGTCTGTAATAAAGCGTCGCCTGTTCCAAGGGGGCTATCAGCTGTGTCTGCCTGGTCAACAATTTCAAACCCACAGCGAGGGCAATCCAGCCGCCGACGCTTTCCGCGGAGTTGTTGCCGAGCCAAGCTGGATGTCGGTGTTTGCAAGCCAAGCCGCCACTCCCAGATAAGATGTCGGGCGTTCTCAATCTCTTTAAGAGCCCTCCCCCAATTCATTTCGCGCTCGGTCGTGCCTCGAACAGGGTTGTCAAGCAAGTCAACCAAGGAACAGCATGCAGCACTCCACTCTGCTGGCGATGTTGCCGCCACGCCAAGCCGCGATTGCCAGCGCACTTGAAGCAAGCGTTGCCACGCTTGTCCAACACTCCGGAACCACCGAGCGCTGCTGCCTTCCCCGAAAACACCAACTCTGTGGTCGGCTTCCTTGACAAGCGCGGCGCTCCAGCCAGCAAACGTGCCTGCAGGACCATCATCCGCACGCGTCGGCATGGGGAAAGCCCATTGTAGTTGCTCCGCTGTGGCACCACCGGAGTGGACCTCTGTCAAGTAGTCCTCCAGGGCCGTAATGAGCGCTGCCCTTTGCTGAAATGCCTTTTTCTTCCCAACAATTTTGTTCAGCTGGTGGTCCGGAACGCTGTCCACAATCCTTCGCAAGCATGAACTCACCGACTCTTCTGGTGGTATTGGCTCAGCAAGGAACCTTGGCCCAACCAGGGCAACTGCATAGTAGTGGGCAGGGAATTGAACGATCCTCGAAAGATCGGGAGCCATTGGAAACAATGCTGCTGGAACCTATCCAATCTAATTATCAACCCTGGGAAGTTCTGCTGAGATTCATGAGACGGACCCACGAAGATCATAGGTGTTGAAGTCTCAAACGTGTTCAAAGCATTTTGCCATACCTGAGTGGTGTGTAAAATGGCCCCAGCTGGCTTTCATACCTCAGGCTAAATCATGGGCTCAGTGTGGCAAAATGGCATGTGTAAAATGCCGGCAACCGCCAGTGCTTGAACCTTCGGACAAATCCATCTTCCCAGGGCAACGGAGCAAGGCCCCATGATGCTTGAAGAAGAGTTGATTCAAATAGGGGTGCAATTACTCTGCAAACAAGCTAAGCAGTAGCGGGTGGGTTGGGGGGGGTTCCCCCCCCATAATGCTCGAAGAAGGGTGGTGATGCTGATGACGCGGGAAACCAAATCCAAAAACCAATGAAAGGGTGCAAAAGCCAAAAAGCCCGGAGAGGAACTGGGAAAGCAGAGGATGCGAAAAGCCAAAGCCGCCAAAAGCCGCATAAACCAGCGAAAAGCCGCAAAAACCAAAACTGGGAATGCAGAGGATGCGAAAAGCCAAAGCCAAGAAGCCACCAAAAGCCGCATAAACCAGCAAAAAACAGAAAAGGCCAGAAGCCGAGAAGCCGGAAAGCCAAGAAGCCAAAAAACCAAGAAGCCAAGAAGCCAAAAGCGAAAAAACCAAAAAATCAAAAAATAACGAACACAAACCCCCAAATAAATACCCCTCCATATATTAATGCCAGTGGATGTTCAAACCCAGGGTGGGATGTGTTTTGGTCTCTCGGCACATGCGGCATTCAGCTTGCCTTCCCCATGTGCACAAAGAATCTTGCGTGTCGCTTTGTGACTCCCGCCGATCCCCCAACACGATTCATGTTTGCCAGACGTTGCCAAAGCATGCTATTGTAAAATGTTCCAGGAACCTTTCACTTGCCTAGATCATAGCTTACCAAGCGAGAGTTAGACTGCGCCAGGCCACGTGCCAATAAAGGGGGCCAAGCCCTGTTCCAAAACGCAAGTGGCCAAAGGACGCACATGACCCCGAAAGAAGTCGTTTCCCCCGAAGACGCTTCGGGAATCATGACCAAACATGGTGTTCAACAAGTTGCAACCAACATGTCCTTGAACAAATGCATGTATGCATAGATAGCTTCTTCCTGGTCTTAAACCCAAAGGAGAGGGAAACACAGTTTTCTCAACAAGGGGAACCCGGGACTTTAAAAGGGACGAACCCCGCCGTGACTGCGACCTCTCCCTTAAATTGTGGGCAGCGCGTGCAACGCGCACTTTTCTTGAGCCTTGAGCCAAATACATAACATGCGGACATGTTATCACTCCATGCAACTTGGTGAACCTCCGGGCCATAAATGTCATCGTGATTATTGACTCCCCCCTCATTGACGGCACTGAGGGAGTGTCTTGGGCGCATTACCACGCCAACTTGAAGTCAAGTTTACATCACAACGACTGACGCAAGTTATTCAAGCATCGCCCAGGCATTTGAACACGTTTGGAAACTTTGCGGGCATGTCGCAGCGCATCATGCGGCTGCTTTAGCGGATATACTTTCAGGCACATCTTCAAGCTTTTCTGGAAGATCAACACGGATACCGAGCAACCTGATGGCATGATCCCATTCGTTGGGAGGAAGTGCTTTTGTGAAAATATCTGCTAATTGCATGTCCGTCTTGACATACTCTATGGAAATGTTGTCACTTTCGAGCTGCTCTGCAATGCAAGCAAGGTTTACCTTGTGCGTGCGTTGGACGCAACGTAGCTTAGATGAGAAACCCTTCTTTGCTACCAGGATGGTCGCCTGATTATCCTCATGGATTTTAAGGTGAAATGGCCTATCTAGTATCAGCTCCCAAAGGCTGAGCGCAGGTAGTGCCTCCTGGTACACGGAGTACGCAAGAGACACTATTTCCGCCTCCGTAGTAGAACGAGAAACCGAAGTCTGACGTTTCGACACCCGTGCGAGAGGAAAGTGCAAATGCGGGCCACTCAACACTAAGAAACCACCGGATGTTAATTTTGCATCCCTCTCACCTGCGAAGTCTGCATCCACATAGAGAGAGAGAGAGAGATGTAGTTCATCAGTCAAATCCTGAACTGTGCCAACAAGGGTACTGTTCACCGTGCTATTAATGTAACAGACAAGCCTATGCAACCGTTTATCACAATTCCTAGACCACTTCTGCACATAGGAAGCAAGGTCACCAATCGGCTTGACTACGTCCGGACGTGCTAATCGTCCTAACCATAAAGCCTTCATCAGCACGCGGCATGCGGCGAATCCAAGCTCACCCTCCAAAGCGTCGTCTGCGGGGTCCAAAGATCCTGCGGGACAGCATGGAGTGGTGGCATCACGCAACTTTTCAGGTTTTAACTGTGCAACCTCAAGATACAACGCAACCGTTTGGCGAGCATAATCTCGCACCATTGCCCCGTCTTAACCTACCCGTTGCGGCATTGAGTTCGGGCTCAGTTGGGTCCTTCGGGGCGTCTATCAAAAGATGATTCCTGCCTAGCACCCGATATATGTCTTCTGCGGGTTCTACGTCTACTAGGCGTGTCAACCTTTCCCAGAAGTCATTGTGAAGGTGGCTGGGACCGGACGTCAAGTCATCGACGTATGTCGAGACAAGTAACCCGGACTTCTTGAACCAGAAGTTTCCGGGAAACTCGGAGACTTCACGCCCTCCAAGTTCACTGATGAAACCTTTGAGGTGCGCTTCCCAGAGACGGCAGCATCAGGATGCCCATAAAGAGCTTAGTGAGAGCCTTTCATTGGGTCTTACCGGGACTAAAGGGAGCAGGCCTATCGAACGACATAGTGAGGCATGCAAAGGGATGGCTAAACGTGTGCAACGAATAAGGTAACCCGGATTGCAAGTGGCAGCGCTCCTTCTCTTCACGGATGTCGCGCTCCAGGATGGTGTTGTGCGGCCACCTGTTTGGCAAGCTTGTCTCTGGGACAAGACCGACTTCGTGGGCCGCTCCTTCAACCTCTCCTGCTGCATCCATTTTTATTAGACATGCTGGCGGCGAATCAGTGGCCCGCAGGCCCATGAACTGACGGAAATGTTTAACACGCGCTTGTGTGTCCCGCCTACTCACAGGATAGGCAAGGCGAACGCCTGAGAAAACATCACATGCTACATGGTGGGATTTGATTCCTCCGAAACCTACTCCGAGATGTTCATTGCCCGTGGCAAGAATCACAGAATCGGTAGCCAACTGTTGAAATGGGGCGTCTCCTTCCTGTGCGCAACCCTCGCAGATGCGGTCTTTGAGATGGAACACACTTTGCAAAATGGGTTCTTAGGGAAATGTGACCTCATGTGCTCGGGAGACTTTTCTTGCTCCTTTAACGCACTTGCATTGCATGTGTCGGGTCACCGTCCCCGAAAGCGATCAATGAAGGTCGCCCTCTGGGGGAGGGGCTTCCTCGGCCGCTAGCATGTTCACAGGAACCGCTCATGGCAGCGGCTTCAGTCGGCCAGAGGTGAGTTGACGACTCTGCCAACTTGGGCTTTAATTACCACCTCATCATGTTGAGGGACATATTCCACGACCCTAGACGCATTAATGCGTGCATTGCGGGGCACGTTAATCTTACATCTGCTGAGTTCCTTTGGGGGAACAAGGTATGGAACATTTTCACGCGGGTCCCAAATGAACAGGTGTCCTTGATCCATCACGGTCTTTCCGATGGATTGCGCTGGTGGGCAATCGCGGAGGACGCACACCTGCTCTGCGGCAGGTATCAGTCGGCTGTCCTCGAACCCTAATGAGGTAGTGCCTTGTTGGGCACCACCCCCAGTCGCAAAACCTACGGGTGTACTGCTCTCGCGCACGCACTTGGTCATGTTGCTACTCAAAGCTTGACGACCTGCTGCAGTGTCCCAAAGCCAGCTGATGCGGTTGTCGTCAGCTGAGCAACAGCAGCACTCGCCTTTGGTGGCGGCGGTGACAACAGGCTGTTGGGCTTGGGACCAGTGTCCTTGTTGGTATCACTGTGGAGAAATGCACATTGCTTAGCTCTACATGAGTTATAGGCATAAAACATGCACGGGCTCTTTGCTTTCTCGGCCGCGGTCATGTTGGCTGTCTTGCTGATGGCCTTAGACCTAGGAGTAAGGTTATCGTTCGAACCGCCTTTACCTTTGCCCTTAGGGCTGGTGCTGCATTAGCTTTTCCCGAAAGGGTTCTTCCGTGCGGAGCCCTTGGACAAGTTACACAGAGCCAAGTTGCACAGAGCCAAGTTACACAGAGCCAAGTTACATAGAGCCAAGCTACATAGAGCCAAGTTACATAGAGCCAAGTTACATAGAGCCAAGTGACATAGAGCCAAGTTACATAGAGCCAAGTTACATAGAGCCAAGTTACACAGAGCCAAGTTACATAGAGCCAAGTTACGTAGAGCCAAGTTACATAGACCCACGTTACATAGAGCCAAGTGGCACAGAGCCAAGTTACATAGAGCCAAGTTACATAGAGCCAAGTTGCACAGAGCCAAGTTGCACAGAGCCAAGTTACATAGAGCCAAGTTACATAGAGCCAAGTTATTTACACGCTGACGCGACACAGCCGGCCACCGGGCACCCCTCCCGTTCTTTCATCTCCTTTCCCTCTAAGTTTCCTGGCATGTCCCTTCACTTCCTTCCACTTCACTGCCGCTTCAGCTCCCTTCATTTCCTTGAAGACTCCTTCATTCGCATTCCTTTCCCTTTTCGATCTTTCATTTTCCTGCAGCTTGGTTTCTCTCCAGCGCCCTCTTCATTTTCGTGCAATGCCTTTGACTTGCATTTCGTTCACTTTCCAGTCACTCCTGTTTCCTTTCAGCCCCTTGTTTCGCATCGCCAGCATGCATAGCATCATCCGCATCATCCGGGATGATGCTGGCAATGCTGGGGGTGTTGTCCAGTATTAGGCACCCCCCAAAAATACTCGTTTTTGGACTCGTTTTT